AAGAGCGTCAGTACTCAATTTTTAAAATTAAAACAAAAGTCGTAAAGTTTAAATCCATATGAATGCACTATTTTTCCAAAACTGGATCAAAACATGCAAAAGCTATAGCCACAAAAAAATGCTTTCCAGGAACAAAAAAAAAACTCAGACTTCGAACCATATTATCTATCCTATGCAATAGAAAAACATTATAAAAAAAAAGGGGAAAAATGGATTTCAAAATTCAAAATGTAAATTACGTTCTTCCAGCACTCCATTAGACATTTTCTCAACAAGTAACCACACATTCACTTTAAAAAAAAAATTCCCATAAAGCAAACAGAACCTCATAACAAAAACATCAAACCAAAGGGTCAATGACCCAGAAAATAATAATAATTATAGCAATAATTGAACAACCGATTAAATTAAGCAATAAATTAAAAAGAAAAACATACATAGAAACAAGGATTAGGAGGGATCTCAGAAAGAAATAAAATGCATTTTGATGCATAGAAATGTAAAAGCAGAATAGAGAATGACTCACATTCTGAGTTGGATCTGGAAAGAAATAATGCTAGTGTGTTGGTGAGTTGTGTTGAGTTTTTGAGTTTATGCTTTGAGTTTTGTCCTGTACTTTGTTGTGTAGTCGCGCCTTTTATATGACCCTCGTCGGTCACACGCCGTTTCTTAACGGCGTTAAAAATTTCATCTTTACAAATTTTGAATTTGAATCATCCACTTTTTGCTGTACTAAAAAATTATTAATTTCTTTTCCAAAGCCACTGGATAAATTATAAGACGAATCCTTTAACAAATACTTTGTCTTCACTTAGTTTCTTCTTTATAGTTGGTATTGCAAAATTTAATCAACCACCCTCTTGTTTTTGTCTTTACAACAATGAAATTTAATCAAAACACGATTGCATGTTTTGGAGTCTTTTTTTTTTTTTTTTAATGCATTTCTTTTCTCTTTCTTCACTAAGAAACTAGATATACTTTTGCAACATGCTTTTTCGAATGCTTTTTCGAATGTACAACTTAGGATCTAGGACCGACACAATTTTGAATAAATCTCTCTTAAATGTTTATAGAGAAGAAAATAAAATATTTTTTAAAATTAAAATTAATTTATGTATAAATTAAAAATAAATTTAAAAAGTTAATATAGCAAAATCTCTATAAATTAATTTATACATAAATTATTGAAAAACTAATTTTATTACTGGTCCTATTTACTTCTCTTATAAATAAGTTTAAAAAAGTTTATCCAAACATGAATGCAACTAATTTTTTGTGATTTTGTAAAACAAATGGAACTACGGAGAAAGAAAGCGATATTATTGATCATCATTGCCATTTTATTGCTGATCGATTACCACTCCTCCTTGATCTAATAATAGTAGCTTTATTTATTATTTTTAAATTAAATAATTTTTAAATAATTAATTTTCACTCTATGTTATTTTTTTCAATCAAACAACTTTATTTTTATTTTTTTTCTCTTTATTTTTTATTTTATGTCTATCCTTTTATTTTCTTACTTTATATCGAACACACGCATACTTTCAAGGAAAATAATGTTTGTGTTGATTTCTTAGTTAATTTGGATCTAAATTCTAATACTGCGGTATTAGAGTTGGACACTCTACTAATTAAGTTGCGCCCTCAAAATGAGAGTTTAGACTAATTGGTAAAATCAAGATTAAGAATATAGAGTACAAGGATCTATTTATTTTAATATATATATATATATAAACATTTCTTTAATAAAATATGCTCTCTTTTTTTTTACTTTTTAAATATTTTTATCTAAACTTTTTTTTTAAAAAAAAATAGTTTCTATCTACTTTTTAAAGAATTATTTAAAAAAGTTATTTAAAAAAAGTACTCTTAGACAAATGGATTCTAAATCAATCAGCAATAAAATGGGAAAGTTCAAACACACATTTCGCTTGTGTATACGAAAAATTTGTCAATAATCAATACAGATTGGAATATCCTATTGGTCCCCTCGAAAATAAAATCGTTATCCTTGATTGAACACATGGTTTTTATTATTATTTATAAATGGTTAAATTTCGTATAAACAATCATGCACAACTCATACTTTTAGATAGAAATTAATAATAATAATAATAATAATAATAATAATAATAATAATAATAATAATATTCCTAAGAGGGGCAAAGATATAATTCCCTTAAGTTCACATAAATAAGATTTTATTGAGTAATGACTATAGAATGAGTATATTCTACTGAAGAATAATGTTATAAATCCTAGAATGGCCAATATAACCAGAGTTTTTTTTTAATAAATAAGAATAAGTTTGTTTAATCATATCTTTAGTCTTATGTAAAAGTATTAAACTGGGTCAATTCAACTTTAACTTAACAAAAAAATTCAACCCAACTTATAAATAATAAATAAATTGAGTTGAGTTGAATTCATTTAATTATTTGATTGAGATTCTCAACCCAAAATAATTCCCAATGGTAACATATTAAACGATCAAAAAATCTCAATTTTATCATTATAGAAAAATCTCAACCCAACGAGTTAACCTAATCCATCCACTATTGACTCATGAGATCCATAGGTTATATTGAGTTGTATTATGCAAATTGGTAGGTTTGATCTTGCAAGTCAATTTTAATACATTGAAAATGTAAAAATATTTACATAGATGGTAAGATAGAAACCACCTTGATATATTTTTAAATAAATTATTACAAAATAATAGTTTTATTAAATATTGCAATCTATGATTAAATTGAAAATAATAAAACTTATTTTTTACTGTCTTTTATTCTAGTTTATTTTTTCCCCATTTTCTACAGTGAAAATGGCATAGCATTTGCCTAATAAAATAAACTACATAAAAGCACAAATTCAACTGATTATTTTCTTTTGCAGATAAATTCAATTGATTTTTGAACAGTTGAACTAGTCATCAACAAGTGGCAAAATTTACAAATCGAGAGTTAAAAAGGATTCAACTAATCAAAGTTGCTATCATGGTTATCTTTCAAAAAAATACAATTTACCGATATAGTCCATTATTGTACAATGGTGTATGAAAATGTACAGAAATCAAAATTTAAATATAAGTAGATAAATGGGAGTAGTTATAACCTTGTTCATAATGGTAAAATGCTAATTAATTTTGTCTGCTTTTACACATAATCAGAAAATTCCCAGTGTTAAAGGAATGTTTTACTAGAAAAAGTTACATCCACAAACACAAATAAGTCTTTAATTGCCAATTTTGAAATACTGCATATAATCATATATTTGATTGTCAGTTTTGGTCTGTCTATAAAAGAATAAAAATAAAAATAAGGTGGTCCGCTTAGGTATTATATTAGTAACATAATTCAATGAGTAGAATTATCTTCCCCAATCCAGCGAAGTACGCCTACCTATCTTAATGTGGCAATTAAAGTTTCAAACCTTTCTAATGTTGACAGTTTTGGCAGAATTAGCATATCTTAAAACTATTGGGTATCCAGTGAGGATCACTAAATCATGATGCTCTTGTCTTTGCAGAAAAGCAATTAGAGAAAAGACATCCCATCTAAAGCATTGCTTAGACCCTATCCATGACTGTTCCTGCTTAACTCCTCGATAAATGCCCAACACCCTCCCATCATTTTTTAAATCATAAATAATTCATTCCAAGCCCAGTGCAGGACCATATTAACCGTGAAATAAATTAGTGTGGGCTTGAAGTTTTGAACTTAAAGACGTTATCTCTTTGTATTTCAGTTCATGTAGACACAGCAAAGCTCTCATTATTATACATGAATACCAGTAAGTTCTGGCTATATAGCTCTAATAACCTTTAATAATATAAAAGCTACATTAAAAATAAAAATAAAAATGTTTATAGGTCAATAGATCCCAAGCTCAAGTAAAGTGAAGTATAAATAGTAAAATTCAGTCCACACTGAACTGGAATCATGATTTGAAATTCAAAATTCAGCTGGTGTAATCTCTTGAATCTCTATGTAGATTAAGCAATAGCCATAGGCAAGAGCAAAACTACCTGCCTAAAGCATGCAAAATTTAATCTTTCCCAACTAAACTTTAATAAGTTCCTTCTTCTAGAGGAAGCCCTTACAACACTCAATTTCATTCGCTCACTCAAAGGATCCATAAATGGCTATCCCAACTACCAAACTAAAATATAGGCATTTGTTCCCCTTATTTTCTAATCACTTTTATTTATTGGATCCATCAGTTTCAACTATAGTAATCATAAGTGGGATTTTAAAACACAATGTGGAAAAATTGTGGAAAAATTGAGAATAGTAAGATGTCTTTTGTCTCCATACAAAGTGGTCCAAGTCCAACTATTAAGATATAAAAAAGGCTCTTCTGGTTGGGGTGGGTATATGCAACTGGATTCAACAATATCACTAGTTCCTTTGTCTTCTTCAGCTTTTTTTATCCTATTGAATAAGTGCCAAAAAGGACAAGTTCCTTTGTCTTTTGAGCCATCCAGTAAGTAAAATTTACTGCTCTGAATCCTTCCGTAGGCAGTTATCATTTTACACCTTTTAAAAGTGTTTCTCATAGATCCACTTTTCACGTTGGATGGTTCAATATCCCACTCTTATAGACTAAAGGGGTAAATCTAAAATTTAAATTATTTAATCATTAGGCTGCAACAGATATAAATTACATGTCCTTGTTCTACAAGGATAGTGCACACAAGCCCACTACAAAAGATCTTACTGACTGGACAATTTGGCTAGGGTCAGAGCCAATACTTTTACACCATTTGACATATCTTGAATGGTGGCAAACTCTTCGGGCTTGTGGCTGTAACCTGCAAAATCAAGAATTCATAAATCCTTTTCTTTATAAAGCTGTTATGAGAAAAAAACCAAAACACATTTTGCATGTCACTATTCAGCTCCATCAAATTGGTAACTAGAAAACAAATCCACATGCATGTGAATATGTATAGCAACAAGGTGAGGTAGGGATGGGTCTGACTCATCCTCGCTGCCCCCAACCTCACTTCCCCAAACATGTATAAACTCAGTTTTATGATTTAACTTTTCTACAGACTAACTATTAACAGGACAGGGTCTTGTATGAGCTTGAGTCTGAAAGAGATATGGCTGTATCCTCAAAGAGTGTTTTTGCCATGTCTAATTTAACAAGAAAAAATTATGCAATGTTTCTGTATTTTAAGTTCATTCATTGGATACTTATTTACACAAGATTAGAGCTCTACTTTTGAATCGCTGTTGGTGCTTTAAATTAATTACAAAAGGATGGAGAACAAACTGTTTGGATATTTGATTGCACAAACAATGTTGAAGGTAGAATCAGATAACAGCACATACACACATAAAGGGGAAAAAAAAAAGTAAATACCTTTGTAACATGGAATGAAAATCATGCCCATTGGAGACAACCTGCAATTAAATAATGTACATGAGCAGCAGAGATTCAATTCATATGAGAGCAAAACACTGTACGGTTTCTTGTAACATAATATAATTAGATTAAATTATGTCAATGCAGAAAGGATGAAAAGAGAGAAAGGATGTTCTCAATAATAGTCTTATGAATGTTTGATATTAAATTAGATTACATTGATACATAAGTGTGGAAACAAGAAAAAGGCACTAAGCACCAATTTATAATAATTAGGTCAAGTTCTGGTGTAATGCTACTAGTACAAGACCAGACCAACAAGTCCGCTAACATGATAAGACTCTAAACGTAAAAAGAATCTCAACATTCTCCAATATTAAAATAATTAAAATATATACAGTTTACATGAAAGTCAAAATTGTGAGAAAATGCCACATTTGGTGGGTGCAAAAAAAAAAAAAAATTCAACCCATTTGCTAGCTTAAAAACAAGACTTTCTTCTCCTCCTTACTTTTAATTTCCACCCATTTTGTTTTCCATTTTGGTCGATGTTTAGTCCTTGAATAAAGAGAAATAAGTAAAATGTATTACATTAGTGCATCATCCCCAGCTCTTGCAAATTACAGAACCTATAAATGAACATTTTTCTTGCCTAGATCCTATCCTAAATTCCTGTTCACATTTTACCATTTGAAAACTTAGGAATGGATGTTTTGGGGCACTTCATATGGAAATAATGTCTGCTTAAGTAAAATCAAATGTCACCTCTCTCTCTCTCCATCATTACCTGGCCATAAACAATGAATCATGATAGGCTCTACTAATCATCAACTTGCTTGTCAAATTTAGTTCCCTTGTCGCAGTTTCTACTGCCTTGATGACTGCTTCATCAGAAAGGGCTGGTGGATCCTGATTGATGACACGAAAGTCGGAGAGCTTGACACCTCTGGTTTTGGTTATTCTAATTGCTGATTGGTGAATTTTCTCAACCACTTGGTTTCTTCTTTCCTCGTCAATGTCTCTTGTGTCTGTAATAGTACAGAATAATTCCAACGTAAATATTTGTATAAACAAATATAATATACTAGTAACTGGAATTATCCATAACATAAAGAAACAAGTATTGCATGGTAAAACCATTTATAATTCAACATTGTAAGGATGCTGGTAAAACTGAAGTTGTGCTGTAAATACACACCAATTTCTAGGTGAGATTTGCTAGGGATGCTGTTGATTGCTCCAGGATGCAGTTCCAGGATACCTTGTTAAATAGAAGAGGTTAGTTTAAATGAAAGTTATAGATTAATCGAGGCACTTCAATGATAACTTACCAACAGTACCAACAGTATCAATTGACCCAGAATCCAACACATGTCTCTCTACAGCCAGGGCTAATTCAGAAGCAGCCAGACCAGCATCATTTCTGCTCCAAATGATATATTAACTTAAAGTATACATAAGGCATTAAAATTTGTTAACAAAGAAGTTTCAATTCCAAAAGGGATAAAAAAAGTGGACAAGAAAATGTAATGGAATCAAAGATAGAATGCTACTATTTGTTCACTCAAGATCACGGAAAGATCTTGAATAACATCAAAAGGAAGAAAGGAAAAACGATCTGAAAACTGTAGAAAGAATAATATATGGGTGTTACAGTTCAAATTATTGCAACAATAGAAAAGGATAAGGGTGTAATGCTGCAAAAGAAAATAATATTTGTTTTAAGATGGCAGCCACCTGTTAGGCATGAGGACAGCACCTGCATGGCCCCCATTGCCTTCAAATTCAACCTTTAGACTTGCTGGAGCTGCGATGGCAGTAACTATGCCTATAGATATACCTGGGTCATGAAACAGATAACATGATCATTGAAGTTGTGGCTAATGCAAAGATTATGTAACTAAGCTCCAATATGTACCTTCATCTTCTAGAATAGGCCCTTGTTCAATGTGCAGTTCTACAAAAGCAGAATATGTTCCTTTCTTTAAAAATACACTGGATAAGTCATCTTCAGTTTTTGCATACCCAGCAGATCTTGAAGCATCCAAGAAGGATATGTTTTGAATATCAGTTGTTGTCTTTAGAGCATTTGCAAGATTCTCACTCCCAGCCAATAAGCGGCTGCACAAAAGTAACAAATATTGAAACCTAAAGTACAATATGGGATGTAACTTGGTTATTAGAAATACTAAGGTAGCGTGAGACGATAAAATCGAATTATGGATTTGTTGACAAAAATAGTCACAAATAGGACTCCTATTCTGAGACAGTATAGAAATGTAGTTTCTGACCTTCCCAGGCAACCTATTCCAAAGCGTGTTGGTTCTTCTGATGTGAATGATATGACTTCCAATGATCTTCTAGGTTTAAAACCAGACCTGTGAAAATTTTCAATCAATATCACAAACATCACTGCTCCTTACAGAAGTGGATAATGATTGGACATTGTAAGTCTTGTCATGGAGAATTTGGAAAATTTAGCTATGTGTGGAACATTTCATTTCTATATAGATGTTTAATTTGATATTGCAGGTATTTGCCAGAGCATAACAAGCATATAACTAATTGTGTTTTTTGTAAAATGGTTAGACCCATACTTTGTTGGTTAAGCATCAAGTCATTAACAATATAACAATCCCTTGATACTGTTCTAGTTAAACATCAAGTCATCAAAATAGAAAAATTATGCCTAAAAGAGGGCAAATAAAGCAGCGAAAAATAAATGAAAGAAAGAAAAAGCTTGCAAGGCTGAAAACCTTAAAAGGCAACTTAGGCAAAAGTTAGAACGCTCATCAAAATAGAAAAATTATGCCTAAAAGAGGGCAAATAAAGCAGCGAAAAATAAATGAAAGAAAGAAAAAGCTTGCAAGGCTGAAAACCTTAAAAGGCAACTTGGGCAAAAGTTAGAACGCTCTGGTAGGTTGGAAACTCCAAAATAGCAGCCTAGGCAAAAGTTAGGATAAAAAAAACTAGAGTTATATATATTTTAATAACTTAATTGGACAGAAAATATAAGTTAGCTTTGTCTTTATTCACTGTCTATAAGGCTACAATGTTTGGAATTATTGAACTTGAGATAAGTATCTTCATTTTCACTCGGCTTATATGCAATATTTACATCTCCAATTCTTTATTTGAAATAACATGTGAAAAAACTAATGCAAGGATGCCAGGACAGTGAAAATACATTAGGAATTCAAGGTGCTGAAACTTCCAAGCTTGCTCAGTAATTATCAGAAGATAGACAGCAATTAAAAAAAATTGTAGTCTGAATAATCAATTATTTCCTATGTCACCAATAATAAGAAAAATCAAAAACCTTTTCAGGACTCTGATGGCTTCGATAGCGCCTAGAACACCAACAACTCCATCATATTTTCCAGAGTAAGGTATAGCATCAATGTGTGACCCTGTTGCAACTGCAGAAAGCTCAGGTTCAAGGCCATCCCTGCATACAGCAATCAAAGATAAAGTGGTCAGTGTAGTTAGTAAATTACAGGTCCAGAAGGTTATGATGTTAATATGAGCTTGAAGACCCGGTCAAATATCAGAGTGACGATTATAAACGTAAATAATGAGGTTAGAACTTAGAAATATTGCATGATATTTCATTTGAAAAGCTTTTGAGGAACATACAGAAACTCACCAACGACCAAATATGTTACCAACAGCGTCCTCTCTCACAGATAGACCAGCAAGTTCCATCTGGGTTTTTACGTACCTACAAATGCAAGACAAGAGTTAAAGTATATAAAGGCATACTGTGGTCAAGCACATACCACATGTGTTTATCAGGCTGAATAGGTTACTTATAAATATAGATAATGCTATACATACAAAAGTTAGAAAAAGGCAATGCTAGACCTCCTTTCTGCACCATCAAATTCACGGTTCACCTTTGCATCTATGCAGTGTTATTATATCAACACTGTTCTTTCACTCACAATCACAACTAAACTAACAGTCCAACACAATTGCACTATCTAGTTTACACTTCAGTTTCCTCAAGAGCTATCTGCACGGCATTTTCTTCTTATTTATCACTTACCAATTGATCGCTTCATACATGCATACTATATAAACACCCATTTTCATGATATTTTGCTATACAAATAGAAGGGACAGAAAAAGACAACACCGTATTACTGTTTCCACTTTCCACCACCAGTTTTTGGATTAAGAGGGACTTAAAGTTAGAAGTTGAGGGATTGACAATTTGACATCAGCAGAACCACACATACGAAGTTTTCAATTCATCCTAATAAAACACGGAAAAATGGAAACTTTAATTCACACACACGCACACATACCTGCGACCTAAAACATCCTTGTCAGTATACAAGACCCTGGTCACTGATGGAGCAGGTGAGTCAGAAAACGCTGAGAGCTCGTCAATCTAAGAAGAAAGAACAGTTAAAAAACGTGAATAAAGAATGATGAAAAGTGGAGTTAGCAGTGGGTGAGTACCTACCTGGTTCTGCAGAGCCTGAGCATCAACAGAGAGTGAAGTGGGTAGGAAATAGTG